GAGGCAAGCCTGGCAATGAAGGTCACTCAAAGTAGAATAAAAAGCTTCCTGATATTGAAAGATTATAATAGCATTAGGATGCCTGCTTAAACTTTCTAATGAGAGACAAAATTGGATCTTGTTTAAAGCACGGTTATTTAGAGTAGTCTGATATTTTCAGCCAAACTTAAGCCTAAACAAGATAACTGTATTATTAAACTTTGGCATAAATTTAAAATATTACATCTTGAAATGAGGTCAGCAAAAAAATGTAATTAGAAATATTCTACTCAGGCCACGCGCATTGGCTCACGCCTGTAATCCCAGCACTTTGGAAGGCCAAGGCAGGCAGATCACAAGGTCAAGAGACCGAGACCATCCTGGCCAACATGGTGAAACCCCGTCTCTACTAAAAATACAATAATTAGCTGGGCGTGCTGGCACGTGCCTATAGCCCCAGCTACTCAAGAGGCTGAGGTAGGAGAATCGTTTGAACCTGGGAGGTGGAGGTTGCAGTGAGCCGAGATCACGCCACTGCACTCCAGCCTGGGCGACAGAGCAAGACTCCATCTCAAAAAATAAAGAAAGAAAGAAAGAAAGAAAGAAATTCTACTCAATAACCAAAGATCATACTCCAAAGACAGGTTCTTTAAAAACAAATAACAATAATCTAAAGCCTTTTATTATCTGTAATATAAACAATGTACTTTTTAAGATTTCAAGATTTTTCATATTTACTTCTCTTGAAGACCTAGGCATAAGAGATAGATTTTCCATATGCTTGATAAAAATTGAAACATCTGAAGGATCATATATATATTTTTTATTTTGGTAGAAGCCTCAGCATTCTGGAATATATTTAAGGCTATATCAAGGCCAAGAAGTATATACCAACAGTAGTGTTTCACTTTTGAGTCTCATCCAGGAACTTAACTGTGCACCAGTGAGTGGCACTCAAATAAAGAAAGGTGGAACTATCAATGCCATTATGAAACACGATCATAAAAGGTGTTTCCCAGTAGTATCCATCTTGGTAACTCTGATGCAAAATCTTTCACTATCTTAGTGCTACGGGACAGGGCTGCAAATTTAGAGTAATTCCTTAGCAAAAAAATAAAAAGGGCACTGAAGTTGGCTGGCTATATATTAGGTATTAGAGATGAAATACTTGATGACAAAATTTGCATAGACCTGATTTGCAGGACTGCCTATGCCATGAAAGAAAGAAAGAAGGAAATATTCAGAGTGAAAGAAGGAAATAATCATGAAGTGCCTATACTCTGGCAATTTCAATTTTTAAAAAGTCTCATTAAATATTTAACCTTGGATAAGTTGCTTTATCTCTTCCTATACTCTGGCAATTTCAGTTTTTAAAAAGTCTCATTAAATATCTTTTTAACCTTGGATAAGTTTCTTGACCTCTTTGTGACTCAATAGTCTTACTTATAAAACGAAAGGGTTACAGTATATCATTTATTCCTATATAGATATAGATATAGATATAGATACATAGATAATTCCAAATCATTTATCCACAGATATCCACATGGCTCACTTCCTCGCCTGTTTCAAGTATCTGGTCAAATGTGAACTTTCAGTGAGCCCTACCCTCACAACCATAATTAATTATCATCCCATGGTTCAATAAGGCTCTGTACATTTATTTTCCTTTATTCTCTTTGTGCTTCATTTTGGCATGTTTCCATCACGTCTTCAAGTTAATTAATCTCTTTTTCTTGCAATATCTACTACTCTACATCTAATTCCACTAAATTTTTATTTCAGATATTTTGTTTTTCATCTCTAGAATTGAGTTTAGTTCTTTTATATATTTTCCATTTCTCTCCTCAATGTATGCAACTTCTTGTAAATATCTGAACATAGTTATGATAACTGTCTTAACATATAGGTATTTAATATACCTGCTAATTCTATCATCTGTGTCATTTCTCAGCCTATTTCTATTGGCTAGTTTCTCTCCTGTTGGTAGTTCTCACTCCTTTGCACCTCCAGTAATTTTTTTATTGAATATTTGGCACTGTTATATTTAAGTTGTATGTCTCCATCTTATTGTATTCCTTTTAATGATGTTGGGCTACAACAGTATTGTATTCCTTTTAATAGTAACAGTTACTTGCTATTTTGTTTCCTTCAGAGGCTGATTTACAAGTTTGTTTAAGGTGAGTCTAGGGTAGTCTTTATAAATAGTTTAGCCCCACAGCTAAGGCCTAGCCCTTCTGGTCTCTACTGAATGTCCTAAATAACCAATGAGAATGGTATGCGATGGACAGTAGGAACTTCAATGCCTTCTGCCCTGTGTAAGGGTGGGAATCATTAAGATCACAGCTCCAAGGTTATTCTTTGCCAAACCCTGTGAGGTCTCATTGCCCCAGGGGCTCTTTTTCTGCATAACTTTCTCCATCTCTGGAATTTTATTCTATAATTTCTGTCATTTCTGCCTCCCTAAACTTCAGTTCCTGTCTCTACAACTCAGAAAGACTGCTGAGCTCAGTTTAAGATGTCCTATTCTACTCTGTATTCTGAAACGTGCCTTGAGGCAGAAAGCTAGGGAAATCCTAGGGCTCACCTTTGTTTCCTTTCTATGAGGAATCACACTCCTGCACTGCCTGTTATCCAATGTCCAGAAACTGGGGAATTTTCCCCATATATTTTATCCAGTTTGTTAGTTGTTTACAGCAGGAATATAAATCTAAACCCTGTTAGTCTATCATGGCCAGAAGCTAAAGTTCTATACTTTGAATTTATAGCATTATCTACCAAATCTACAACATTATCACACGTCTTCATTTATTATCTTAGCAATAGTCAAGGTGTCTTAAATTTAAAAGGCTTCTATTATTTTAACTCTGTACTTATTACGTTGACATGAGAAGTAATATATAAACATGTAAGATAAAATGGGTTATATCTTTTAAGTATCATTTATGGAGTATTCTGCTTTTTAAGTTTTCATCTCCATTCCAGAAATTTTCATGAATAATTCCAAATTAAGGTTTATAACATTTCAAAGCCTAGGGTAAACAAATGTCATAGCTTTTAGGAGTTTCGTTGTTTTGAAGAATATACAGATTCTCTGGAAGATTATTTAGAATTTTGTGAAAATCGATTATCTTCATGTGGAGCAGCAAGTCTTTATTCTGGCTTAGTCCACCCTATGTGACTATATCATTGAAATAGTGGCATTCTGTTGTTAACACATCCCCAGCCCTAAACACATGTCCCCCTGCAGCTAGCCACTTAACATTGGCTGAATTTGGAAGAGGAAAAGGTCTGCTTCTAACTGAATAATTAAAAAGCAAAATCAAACCTAGTGCAGTATCAGCAGGTCTTGTTATTCATGTGTCAAAATCACCATATAACTTGTTGGGGATGAACTTAAAATCAACATTGGACCATAGGTTGTGATGATATAAATTTAAAAAATAATTTTAATGAGAAGTCAGAAATAAAATTAACATTTCTCCACTGTAATATGTAGTTAAAAAATAAATTGTGTATTTTACAACAATGTGATTATACCTAATGCTACTGATTTATACCTAATGCTACTGAAAATGGCTTAGTTAAAAAACAAACAAAAACCAACAACCAAAAAAGGTAGGCAGATGTGCAAAAGACTATGAATACCTTAACAAACTCGTTACAATTTATGAAGCAATATAAATAATAATTAAAACAGTGATTGATAACTACATTTAGATGTATGTACATACTCTAAGAAATCATAAAACATATTTTTAATCTAAAAAAGAAGATTGTATCCTTTAATTAAAAATAAAGTGTTAAAACATAATTCTAAGTAAAGAAAATGTTTAGCAAAGAGTATTATCAAGAAAAGAGAGAGTACCACTGCCAAGTTCACCAGAGAATTAAAAATAGTGGGCACCCAAGGGGGAAGAAATAGAATTCATAAACAATAAATGTTATATTCAACTCAAGGCCTTTTACCTTTGGTGACTGCTCACAGTCACCAAACAGGGCAATCACAAGCATTAGCTGGATGCTTATTAATTTTTATGCAAGCTTGAGTGAGAATATACATTTGGTGAAATAATAATGTCCTTATCTATAAGAAAAATACCTATAGGATATCTGATGGTTCTAAAGATGGAGGAACACCAAAGACATAAAATGCAATTATCCTTAATTCTAAAGAAAAGAACCATAGTTCATATTAATAATTTAAAATAAAAAACAATGTGTTATGTTTTCATATTTTATAAATAATGATGAGAAATTACGTTTTTAGCTTTTGTTATTTATTTTCCCTCATTACAAATTAATTTCTTATAAAAACATAAAGTATAATAAAGAAGGCAAAATAATTATCAGATCAACTGGTATCATTTATGAATTGATATGTGATTGGTATGAGTTTACATATAAACTTTTCCACGCATATACAGATGCATTTCAAAATCTGTGATCACATACTTTATATTTGCATAGAAGATCTAGCAGAGAATATGAGAGAAAGGGGAAGAAAGATGATTAAGGTGTACTGTGGTTTTCAAGAATTCACTTGAAGGAACATACTATTGAGAGACAATTCTCCATGGGTCTCTTAAATAGAGGTAGTGACTGTCTTTGTTCCCTACTGTGTTTTAAAGGATATTTGTATAGCGAATAGCCTCAGAAGACAGAAATATGATCCTGCTTCTGAGCAAAGGGCAAGTGTGCTTACACCCTCGCAAAGGAGACACAGCGCCTCCCTCTGGAGGAAAGGGCAGGCACGCTTTCTATCCATTATAAAAGGTTCAGGTTCCCTAAATTCAGAATTCCTGGCCGCTTTCATGTCACCTTATGGAAACTGGGCTCAGGGCACTAACACAAGAAAATGCTAATACTGTGATTATTGCTAACGTTGTGGATAATAAAGTTCTTTGTCTCCAGCTGAGGAGTCTCATGTCTTTGGCCAGCATCCATGAAATTGTGGATGCTAACTTGCTAGCTTAGAAGTGGAGTAAAATCATAGTCCCTTTACAGTACTTGACACATACCTGTTACCGTTTTTGTTTTTATAGGGCTGCTGGCATATTCAGAGGCCTGATATGATTGCTGCTTTGCCAAGGGTGCACTTCCAATAGACACCTCATCCTCTTTCCTTCTACAAACTGGCATAACAAGAGGAATAGCTACCACAGGCTGCTGGAAAGAGCCAAAATGAAAAACTTTTTAGTTTTTAGTTTTTAACTATTTCTTAAGCAATAAAGGTTAAACATGGCAATACTGAGGACAGTACTTCACAAGTTGGGGCTGAGACTTCATTATTTTAAATCAATCAATCTCTCCCTCCTTCATCTGTCCCTGCACCCCGACTTTTCTCTCTCTCTCTCTCACACACACACACACACAAACACAGAGCAATGCTTATCCACTTAAATTTTAGATTAAAATTCTGAGTGAAAACCAAAGAGCCTGTAAGTACCCAGAAAACTTAAGTTTTAGTAAGAAGTATTAAAATAATATGGAAAGAGCAAGATAAAATTTAAATTCACTTTGAAAATTATGTTCTCAAAAAAATGGAAAAGTATCCTTATAAAGTTATCCTTATAAAATGGTATTTTTAGAAACATACTTTTACAAACTGATTGTGTACATGTTAATATGGATATTCCAACTTTTTTGAAGAATACTGAAAATCTCTATATTTTGTCTGACAAAAGATATCCACAGCATATTCAGAAAGCAGAGAAAAATATCTACTTAGAGAAAGCTGGAAAATATTATGAACCTCTATTGAATGCATGCGGGCTGAGCTGGACAGTAAAGCAGCTGTTTCATCTTTATTCACTGAAATAAAGTCTGATGTTACTGCTGATGATGCCCAATACAATTTTGTCATATTATTGGCAAAAAAAAAGGCACTTTTAAGTTTGCCATAGGATCAAAGATCAATGTTGAAGTGGGTGGAAAACAATCATCAAATGTTGGGTTTTAGCCACAGTTTGAGAAGGAAATTGTAGCTTGGGAAACAACAGATGATAACTGTAACACAGTTGTATCAGATGGTAAATCTGGCGGTGGTTGGTCAGGCTGCAGTGTAGTCTAAGGTTATCTTCAATACTACAACCAAAGTTTTATAGATCCAACCTTAAGCCTTACCCAACTTAAAATACTCAATATAATTTACATTATGAAAAAGTATTTCAATGAAAACTTGTTTATTATATAACTATGTGATAAAATCAATCATGTTCTGAAACATGGAAAAGGGCATATTATTTTACAAGTTGCTAGTCACACTGAGTAAAAAAAAAGGAAAAGAAATTAGAGGCCAGGCGCAGTGGCTCACGCCTATAATCCCAGCACTTGGGAGGCCAAGGCGGGTGGATCACGAGGTCAGGAGATCGAGACCATCCTGGTCAACACGGTGAAATCCCATCTCTACTGAAAATACAAAAAATTAGCCGGGCGTGGTGGCAGGCGCCTGTAGTACCAGCTACTCAGGAGGCTGAGGCAGGAGAATGGCGTGAACCCGGGAGGCAGAGCTTGCAGTGAGCCGAGATCACGCCACTGCACTACAGCCTGGGCGACAAGAGTGAGACTCCATCTCAAAAAAAAAAAAAAAAAAAAAAAAAATCGAAAATGAGAAAAGGAAAAGATTAAATAAATTATCGGAAGCATCATAACATAGAGTACCTGCTTTTATATTTGGTATTTAGTCAAACTGATAATACACAAATCTAAATTGGAAATCATTTTTAAGATCTAGATGAGAAATGCTCCACATATTGTTAAGTCTTGATGCATTTAAATTTCCTCATCTAAAAAATAAGAGGGGGTGGAGATGGTTACTGAAAAACCTCTTTATACTCTAATATTTAGTGACTCCATAATCCCTTGAATTTCTGCCCATTTATATTTGGAATACAATTCAAACTCTAAAAAGTTATAACCAAGTTCAGGATTAAAATTAATATACAGCTGGCCCTTGAATACATAAGTTTGAACCACATAAGTTCACTTAGTTCACTTACATGTGGATTTTTTTCCACCTCTGCCACTTCTGAGACAAGACGAACCCATCCTCTTCCTCCTCCTCAGCCTACTATTCAACATGAAGACCTTCAGGAATGATCTACTTTCGTCCTATATAGTATTTTGTCTTCCTTATGGTTTTCTTAATAACATTTTCTTTTCTCTAGTTTACTTTATTGTAACAATACCACATATAATGCATATAATATACAAAATATGTGTTAATTAACTATTTATGTTATCGTTAAGGCCTCTGATCAACAGTAGGCTATTAGTTAAGTTTGGGGGAACTCAAAAGGTATACATGAGTTTTTGACCAAGCAGGGAGTTGGTGTCCCTAGCCCTCGTGTTGTTTGTTTCTAGGGTCAACCATAGAATGAGTAACTAGAGGAAATTTATGTGCTATACAGTGTAAATTCAAGCACAATAGCCGAAAGATGCAACTAATAAAAGCACAAAGTTAAAAATCCATGTAAAATTTTATAGATCCAGTTCATGGTACTGGTAATACTAAACAACAAACAAAAAATACCTTTGGGTAGCTAAAACTCTGGGTGTATTTTTTTTTCTTTTTGAGACAGAGTCTCACTCTGTCGCCCAGGCTGGAGTGCAGTGGTGCAATCTTGGTTCACTGCAACCTCTGCCCTCCAGGTTCAAGCGATTCTCCTGCCTCAGCCTCCTGAGTAGCTGGGATTACAGGCGCCTGCCACCGTGCCCAGCTAATTTTTATATTTTTATTAGGGATAGGGTTTCACCATGTTGGCCAGGCTGATCTTGAACTCCTGACCTCATGATCCACCCGCCTTGGCTTCCCAAAGTGCTGGGATTACAAGTGTGAGCCACTGTGCCCAGCCAACTCTGAGTGTATTTTCACCCAGGCAAGAATTAAAAGGCCAAACAAAACTACTTTCTAACACAAGAGTAAGGCTCTTGTATGCCCTGTACACAGCTGTATACAAAATACTTACATTTGTTGAATGACTGCTAATAAAGATGCTGCATGTCAGGCATTAAGTGATACCAAATAAGGAGTAAGACCAGTGATTTCCTCCACTATTCTAGAAATATGGCTACCTTGGTCAAAAACATCGAAATAAGCAGTATTTATTTTTAACAACCTCCTATTACCCTGCTTATATTCTTTTTCCTTCTGGTACTGTAGCTCTCCTCAAATTTCAGTTGCACTCTAGTCTCAGAGCTGTTCTATCTTTAACTCAAAACTGTCCCATAACCCAAAATACCTAAAGCTTGTCATAGCTGCATCATATAAAAGGTAACCATCTTTCACTAATTATTAATTTAACAAATTAAAATAATACTAGAAGGTTACAAAGAATACAACATACCTATTATAACCAATAATTAATGGCTATTAACAGTTTATCATATTTGCTTTTTTAAAAAAAGTATTCTAGATAAAACTAAAATCCCCTTTGACTGCCAATCTATTGTCCTTTCCTCCCAGAGTCAACCATTATTATGATATTAGTACAAATCCTTCAACTTAATTTTTATACCTGTATTCACTTACAGACACACATACACATACACATTAAGGGCAGTTTTAGAAAAATATAGGTAAGTGCTCTCATATTGCGAAATGGCTTTTGCATCAAATATAATTTGAGATGTCCATACTAAGGTCTATTGTATAATTTTTAATAAATGTTATATCATGTGAATATTTCATACTTCATCAACCTTCTTACAAATTTTCATTTAAGTTTTCAAATTTTCACATTATTGTAAAGAATATGCAACAGCAGTCTCACACACTATTCCTTAGTTACATGAATTTCACTCTAAGAGCGTACCTGCATCAAGAAGTACAAGTTTGGGGTTATAAGTTCACAAATTTTCAATTTTATTAGATACTGACAAATTTATCAAGTTTTCACTCACAACAACAGTAATCATTCTCTACATTTTCACCAATACTGTATATCGGCATTTTTTTTCACTTAACAGATTTTAAGAGTAAAGATGAGTGGTCATGACTTGATAATTATTGAACCTGGGTATGGAAACATATTGCTCTACTATGCAATTCTCTCAATTTTCCATGGTGGGGTGAGGTGGGGGGAACATTCAAGAGGAAAATAGTAGAATAAGGACATTTTTAAAGTATATTTTTAAGTACGCCAAACTGTAGTAAAATAATAATGCTATCAATTGCTGTTGAAAATGTAAACTGGGCTGGATATGGGGCTCATGCCTGTAATCTCAGCACTTTGGGAGGCTTAGGTGGGTAGACCACTTGAGCCTAGGAGTTTCAGACCAGCTGGGGCAATTTGGTGAGACACCACCTCTACAAAAAAATATATATATTTTTAAATTAGCCAGGCATGGTGGTGTGTGTCTGTGGTCCCACTACTCAGGAGGCTTAGAAAAGAGGATCACTTGAACCCACAAAGTCAAGGCTGCAGTGACCTGTGATCACAGCACTGCACTTCAGCCTGGGCAACAGAGCAAGACCCTGTGTGGAAAAAAAAAAAAGAAAGAAAAAGGAAAAAGAAAATGCAAACTGTATACCAATTTTGGAAGCAATTTGGTGATATAACAAAAGTCTTAAAATATGTTTCTATAATGCAAAATACTTGCCTAGTGCTACTAATTACACTTGTAAAAATATATTCTAAGTGAATAAAGATGAATGCAAAGATTTAGCTATGGAGACATATACTCCAACATTATTTGTAACTCTGAATGAGTAGGATTATGGTATTTGTTAGTTTACCTTTTATTTTTATTATGTTTAGAGATGGAGGTCTCAACCTTTTGCCCAGGATGGAGTATACTGGTGTGATCATTGTTCACTGCAGCCTCCACCTCCCAGGCACAAATAATCCTCCTGCTTTAGCCTCCGGTGTAGCTGGGACTACAGGCCTGCACCACCACGCAGACCTAATTTTTATTTTCTGTAAAAACAGAGTCTTGCTATGTTCCCCGGGCTGGTCTTGAACTCTTGGGCTCAAGCAATTCTCCCACCTTGCCTCCCAAAGTATTGGTATTGCAAGTAGTTTAGCTTCTAAATAGAGCATTGTTTCTGAATTAGAAAAATATACATATAATTATGTGCCACATAACAATGTTTCAGTCAACAATGGATTGCATACATGATAGTGGTTCCATAAGATTATAACACCACATTTTTACTATACCTTTTCTATGTTTAGACATACAAATACTTACCTTTGTGTTACAACTGCCTAAGGTATTCAGTACAGTAATACTCTGTATAGGTTTGTACCCTAGGAGCAATAGGCTACACCAGAGATGGGTTATAGCCCAAACGTCTAGCAGGCCATACCATCTAGGTTTGTGTAAGTATACTCTATGATGTTTGCACAACAACAAAATTGCCTAATGATGCATTTCTCAGAATGTATCCCCATCATTAAGGGGCACGTGGTTGCATATTCATTTTAAAAGTTGTAATTTTTTAAAAAGTTAAAAATCAAAATATTTGAATATGCTTGGTATCAATTAAATGAATGTCTAATTTATTTAAGCTGCTAGAACACTCTACTTGACCTTCAGGGATATCTATGGTACACTGGAAATAATTGTATTACTTAGAGAATAACCAATCAAGAATTTACAAAGAAAATTTTTCCAGACTGGTTACTGCCATTAGTCTAACTTCTGTAGCACTCATTCTCTATATTCTGCTAGAGTAAACTTTCTAAAATCCAGCTCTGTTAATACCAGTTTCCTATAGCTCCTCTTTACCCTTCAAAATGAAGTCTCAAATACCTAGGACTACAAATTTTTTTTTCAGAAATTGATTTCCAATTTCTCCCGGTCTCTACAAGAACACTTCACTCCATTCTGGAACCACTGAAGTCTTTCTTGCCATGCTTTTGCATCTTCTTTGCCTTTGCTCAAACAGTTCAGTCTAAAACAACCTTCCCTGTCTGGCTCACTCCTAGATACTCAGCTTAGTTGTTAATTCCTCCTTTTCACACACTACCCTGCTTGTGAGAACTATTCCTCTTTTTTGTTTTCACATAATCCTGGACATACATATACATAGTAATTACTAAAAATGGCATTACTATATCCCTTAAGATTCTCAAATACACTACATACTCTCAGAGGGAGGGATATTCTCACCTATGACTTTTATTTCTGTGGCCATGGTGTATAGCATACTGCCTTACATTCTGTAACTACTCATTGAAAGGAAAAATGGGGACAGGTATGGCAGAAGTTTCAAATAAAATTAGGACAAAGTGAAGAAAAACCTTTAAAACGTGCTCCTTAGAGAGTATTTTTTGTTAAACTTTTTAATTCTTATATAATTATAAAATTGTGTATTCTTCTCCAATCAACTAGCTTGAAGTTACTTCAGAAAAAGGATACAAAGCTATTCCATATAGGATATTGCAAAATTATACTTAAGTTGATGGGAAATTATAATTCAATAAAGCACAAATTTGGCCTCAAAAATTCTTAGTTCTGTCATTTACTTACAGCTGTTTGACTATACATAAATGAATCTCAATAAACATCAGTTTCATCTTTAAAATGAAAATAACAAAACTGTCAGATTTATGTTTAAGTATTCTAGAAACTATAATTGTCTACTTACTACTTTGTAATTCATACCTTTTTAAACAAACATATATTCCAACCTTTTTTGCACCAATCATCCCAATCCAAGAATTAGATATTCAATGCATATTTTTTGAAAAAACCTAAATATGACAAGGAAAAGTAGAGATAAAAATAAAAGCTGGCCAGGAGCCGTGGCTCACACCTGCAATTTCAGCACTTTGGGAGGCCGAGGCGGGCGCATCTCTTGAGGTCAGGAGTTTGAGACCAGCCTGGCCAACAGGTGAAACCTCATCTCTACTAAAAATACAAAAATTAGCTGGGTACGATGGTATATGCCCATAATCCCAGCTACTCGGGAGGTTGAGGCATGAGAATCACTTGAACTTGGGAGGTGGTCCCAAGAAAATCACTTGAACCAGGGAGTGGGCCAAGATCACGCCACTGCACTTCAGCCTGGGAGGCAGAGTGAAACTGTGTCTCAAAACAAAACAAACAAACAAACAAAAATGCCAATTCTTTTATTGAGCAATTCTTATGTATTGCACACTATGAGAATGGACATGTAGGCACTATGAAAGAATGAAGACTGGTGAAATAGGACTCCTAAACTAGTTTCTGTTTTATAAGCCATTATACAGAAAGCCCCTTTAGTAGTCAAAGAAACTTTATAATGACATGCAATTTCTTATGCAAAAATAAGGGAACGGAATTGTTTGAAAGGGGAAAAGTGGAGAGACAAAGGAAATCTGGTACATTTGTTAAAAAAGAATCAATCAAAAGACATATATAATTCTACTAAATGAATAAGAAAAATATTTGTTAAGAGAAAAAACTATTTAAAAATCTCTTACCTGTTGCATATGTCTACTTGTTCGTTTCTGAGGCTGATAGATGAGCCATGTATACAAGATTGGGTCAATATTAACTGCTAGTCCTTGTATACTGCAAAGAAGTACAGCACCTAGAAGATAAGATTTTTAAATTGTTATATAATTCCTCATCAAAAACAATAAGCTATTTATCACTTTACACCATGTAGGATAGCTGTGACATAATAGACAAACAGTAACAAGCATTGGAAAGGATGTGGAGGAATGCAAACCCTGCTACACTGCTGGTAGGAATGTAAACTGGTACACCCACTTTGGAAAATACTATGGCATAACTGGGTCATATGGTAACTATATGTCTTTTTGAGGAAATGTGGACACCGAAAACGTATGTCCACACAAAAACGTGTATTCACATGCTCATATCAGCATAATTTATAACAGCCAAAAAGTGAAATCAATATACATTTCCATGAGTTGATGAATAAACAAAATGTGGTGTTTCCATACAATGGAAAAGTATTCATCCATAAAAAGAAATGAAGTACTGATACATGCTACAGCATTGATGAATCTCGAAACATTAAGTGAAATAAGCCTGACCAAGAAAACATATATTTTAGAATTCCACTTCTATGAAATTGCCGCAAGAGGCAAAAACATAGAGACAAAAAGTAGATTTGTGGTTACCAGGGCCTGTGAGAGGGGAGAGTAGAAATAACTGCTAAGAGGTATGTAGTTTGAGAGTGATAAAAATACTCTGAAATTAGAAAACAGTTGTAGAACCTGGTGAATATACTATAAACCACTGAATCACACAATATAAAATAATTGTATGGAAAGTGAATTACATCTCATTAAAAGTGCATTTGTCCATAAAATATAATAATAAGCTCAACTTTTTAGGCAAAGAACAATTTTTATATCGGCCCTGAAAATGGAATACGTTAGGTAAAATATTCCTAAATAACTTTTTCATTATATTAAAAAATTGATTCATGATTTGAAATAAATTATTATAATCATTCAATAAATCATTAAAAATTACAATTTTTAATGTTCAAAAGCAAAGAAAAAGAGCAGCCTAGATTAAATGCAGGCCAACATTCTGACATAAAACACAAAGCTGAAGTGTAACAGGTTGCAATTCCAACCTACTAACTAACCTATTTTTTGTCCCTTTCTGATGAAAAGTAGTTCAAATAGAACTTACCTAAAGCAGAATATACAATTCTCAATTTATGTGCAGGTTATATACATCTCTATATAAGTTTCTGTAATTGTACATATATTTTTAATACAAATATTATTAGCTCCACTAGGATATATGAAACATAAAGGAAGGGATATTTGTCAATTTTGTTATCAGCTATACCTGTAGCATATAGGAAATATGCCATCATACTGAATAGGGAAAAGCTGTTGCATTCCCCTTGAAAACTGGCACCAAACAAGATGCCCTCTCTCACCACTCCTATTAGACACAGTACTGGAAGTCCTGGCCAGAGTAATCAGGAAAGAGAAAGAAATAAAGCCCACCCAGATAGGAAGAGAGGAAGCCAAACTATCTTTGCAGACAACATGAAAATATATATCTAGAAAATCCCATAGTTTTGGCCTAAAAGCTCCTTAAGCTGATAAAGAACTTCAGTGAAGTCTTAGGATACAAATTCAACATACAAAAATCATTAGCATTTCTATACACTAACAACTGTCAAATTGGGAGCCAAATCAGGAATGCAATCCATTCACATTTGCCAAAAGAAGAATCAAATACTTAGGAAGACAGTTAACCAGGGAGGTGAAAGAGCCCTACAATGAGAACTACAAAACATGCTCAAAGAGATGACAGAAACAAATGGAAAAACATTCCATTCTCATGGACAGGAAGAATCAGTATTGTTAAAAGGGCCATTCTGTCCAAAGCAATTTACAAATTCAATGCTGTTCCTATCAAACTATCGATGACATTCTTCACAGAACTAGAAAAAACTATTTTAAAATTCATATAAAATGAAAAAAGAGCTTGAGTAGTCAAGGCAATCCTAAGCTAAAAGAACAAAGCTGGAGGCATCACATTACCCAACTTCAATCTATACTACAAGACTATAGTAACCAAAACAGCATGACAACTTTACAAAAACAGATACATAAACCAATGGAACAGAACAGACAGCCAAGAAATAAGACTACACACCTACAACTATCTTATCTTCAACAAACCTGACAAAAACAGGCAATGGGGAAAATGATTCCCTATGCAATAAATGGTGCTGGAATTGGCTACCCATAAGCAAATAATTGAAACTGGACCTCTTCCTTAGACCGTATACAAAAGTCAACCTAAGATAGATCAAAGACTTAAATAAAAACCAAAAACTATAAAAATCCTGGAAGACAATGTAGACAACCATTGTGAACACAGGAACAGGCAAACATTTCATGATGATGATGCCATGATGAGAATGGCATGGGAGAAAATGCCAAAATGGGAGAAAATTTTTGCAAACTCTGCTTCTGACCAAGGTCTAATATCCAACATCTATAAGGAACATAAACAAATCTACAAGAAAAAAAAGCAAGCCCATTAAAAAGTGGGCAAAGGACATGAACAGACACTTTTCAAAAGAAGACATACATATGGCCAACCAGCATATGAAAAAAAGCTCAAGATCATTGATCATTAGAGAAATGCAAATCAAAACCACAATGAGATACCATCTCACACCAGATAGAACAGCTGTTATTAAAAAGGCAAAAAATGACAGATGTTGGTGAGATTGTGGTGAAAAGGCAATACTTATACACTGTTGGTGGAAGTGTAAATTAGTTCAACCATTGTGGAAAATAGTGTGGCGATTCCTCAAAGAGCTAAAAACAGAACTACAATTCAACCCAGCCATCCCCTTACAAGGTACATACCCAAAACAATATAAATCATTCTACCGTAAGGACACATGCACACGTATGTTCACTGCAGCACTATTCACAATAGCAAAGACATGGAATCAACCTAAATGCCTATCAATGGCAAACTGGATAATGGAAGTGTGTTACATATATACCATGGAATACTATGCAGCCATAAAAAAGAACAAGATCATGTCCTTTGCAGGAACATGGATAAGGCTGGAGGCCATTATCCTTAGCAAACTAATGCAGGAACAGAAAACAAAATACCACATGTTCTCACTGATTAGTGGCAGCTAAATGATGAGAACACATGGACACACAGAGGGGAAAAACAGACACTGGGGTCTATCAGAGGGTGGAGGGTGAAGGGCGGGAGAAGGGAGAGGATCAGAAAAAAATAACTATTGGTTTATTTTTTAGTACCCGGGTGGTAAGATAATCTGCACAACAAATCCCCATGACACAAGCTTACCTATATTATAAACATGCACTTGTATCCCTGAACCTAAAATAAAAGTCTATTTTTAAAAAAAAAGAAAGAAAGAAAAAATGTCTGCCTGATGGTAGGGGGTTAAGAAAGTATATATCAGAATAAACCATAGCTGGTTCTCAGGATAACTGAAAATAGTACATTTGTTCTATTATGTTATAGATTATTTAAACCAGGAAAATTAGTATTAATAACAAGTCCTATGAAAACTGATATATAAAAAGACAGATGAAAGAATGAAGGAGAAAATGTAAGAGAAAAAGAAATTTATCCTTTTTTCAAAGCTTTCCACAGAATCTTCAAATAACCAAAATTTGCCATGTATACTCCTATTCTACCATGTAGTTCTATTTTTCCCATAGGCCCAGAACCAGTATAAATCCCTAGGCAACATGCTCAGACAACAAAAGTAATGTACCCTCCCAAGGACCAATATGTGTACTGTTGAGCAATGATTCACTCAAGCAGATGTCAGAAAAGAAAGATACAGAAAAGCTAAACACAAGATGACTGCTAAATGGGATTCATAATTAAAGTCAACTGAAAATCCAATTTAATATAGAATATTTATTTTAACATATATTTATTACTTTCATAGGTTGCAAATTTCTCATAAGGACCTAAATTCTTCTACTTCCCAAGTATCACTTACACCCAGAATAAAGCCATAAAAATACCATATTAAGATAAATAAATAGGACTTTCCCAATATGATATCCAGTTTTCAAACAATTCTAGCAGCTCTATTACAGCTATTACAGCAAAGACTGTCATCTCCACAGACTAACAAGAATAAAGTAGTACAATATATACAGTAAGATTTAATTTGCATTGTATTCTTATTTTATGACAACTCATTCTCCCAAAAAAGTTACTATGTAAGAAAGAGAATTCTCCCCCAATATGAAAAGTTGTTTACTAAGACCTTTTGATTTTAAAGCAATTAATAGAACAAGATCTAGAGAATTTAAAAGGTTTATTTAAATTCAGGAATATATAATTCAATCTCAAGGGTTAAAAGATCTTTCTAAAATCTATGTAAATGAAATTAAAATTAGATTTAAATTACTATGAATTTCCTTCTGTCAAATGAACCCCTTGTAATTTGTTATATAACTAATATCACATAAGTACCATATATAATACATATTATTTACTAACAATAAAGAAGACATTCACCAAAAGAAAAGTGAATTACATGAAGAAAGAAGACTTTGGATCCAGAAGACAAAAGATCTAACTCCGGAGAAAAGTGATGGGAATTCCAAGGCTTACAACAGTGAATTAGTCACAGGTACATAGAAAGCTTAGTAACAACAAAATACAATTATTAAACACAAGGAAATCAAATGTTATAAAGGAAAGAATAGCTATTAAGATACAACACAACTGTGACGTGAATAGTGTTAATACATGGAATGATACAAATTCTGAAATAATAAATGAACAATTTAATCAATCAAATTTAGGATATAAGCAAATAAGAACATGTGATGAAGGTTGGAGAAAGTGAAAGATAGCCAATTATCATTTTCCACAGTAAGAAGTCAATAAATAATGCTCCAAAATCAATATTCAGGAAAAAAACAAGAAAAGCTATGTTATTTTAAAATATGGAAGTAAACACCAAAATGATTCCTGAAAATTTGTGAAACTAGTTACAGCTAGAAAAGGAAACATTAAAAAATGAGTTCTTGTCCACCCCCGCACCACACACAAAAAAATGTA